TGCCGCTGAGCTAAATCCCCAGCCCCGATTATAGGAATTTTAAAAACAATTGGGTTACATTTCTTCTCCTACCAAACTTGTAGTCTTCTTTGTTTTTGTCTTTTACTTGTTGATTTATTTATTGTGCTGGGGAAGAGGTATAACTGAACCCAGGGCCTTGTGCAGGCAAAGCGTACCTTCTACCACTGAGCTACACCCACTAAAATTATAGCCCTTCTAAACAAACTTGCTGCCATTCTGTAGAAATAAGAAGATTCCTATTGCTTCAAATTAAAGTCCACAAGAAATAGGAACCCTTCTCCACTGCTGGTGGGAATGCAGACCGGTGAAACCACTGTGGAAATCAGTTTGGAGAGTCCTCAGAAAACTAGGTCTAGAGGTCCCATTCAACCAGCTATCCCCCTGCTGGGTATTTTCCCAGAAGATCTAAAAACATCATATCACAGTGATGTATGTGCACCCATGTTCATAGCAGCACAATTTGTAATTGCTAAAATGTGGAAGCAACCCAAATGTCCATCCACTGAGGATTGGATAAGAAAATTGTGGTACTTTTATATAATGGAATATTACTCAGCTGTAAAGAAAGATAAACTCGAGGCTTTTATAGGCAAATGGTCACAACTAGAGACCATACTCATAAGCGAAATAAATCAAACATACATGTGAAAGCACCGCATTGTTTCTCTAGTGTAAAGCCTGAAAGAGTTAATTTAAACTAGGAGATATGATAGACATTGGGAATTGATAGGAAAGCACTCATAGGTAAAGGATAACTGGGATATGGGAAAAGAGAAGGGAAAGAAGGAGAAAGTTTGTATATATGTATATGCAGGATAGTTAACACAGGAGTTCTACTGTCCTGTATTTCCTTGCTGAAAGAAACTGTCAGTGAGGCATTGGTTGATTAGCTTTGTATGTCTATATGTGTTTTCATGAGAAACTACATTGAAGATATCAATATGTAATACAATAAGCATTGTTAATTCCCTACCACTCTGTTTGTAACTCTGTAATGTCTGTACTGATCCTTTGCTATTTTGTAAAATGTTGTTGGTCTGTTAGTATTTTCCTCCTTTTATTTCTAAAATAAAAAAAAAATTAAAGTCCACATATTAGCAGAGGAATTAATGGTTATGATTTATTGAAAACAGATCATTTTTTCACTTAAAAATAAGTATCCATTCTAGAAATGGCTTGCCATGAGGGTGGTGATCATGTTCCTATCTGGGGTGTACATTATGAATTGTTGGGGCTGGGGATTTAGCTCAGCGGCACAGCGCCTGCCTGGCAAGCGCAAGATTGTGAGTTCAATTCCCAGTACCGGGGGAAAAAAAAAAAAGAATTGTTCTTTCTACTTCTTTCTTCAGGAGTGCGGGGAAAAAATATTTTTAGCACTTTTAACGGTTATTCCTGGTTTTGGTTTTGGGTCTGCAAACAAGAAAATCAATCAATCTGATTTGATCCAAAAATAGTAGGTGCTCCTGCTTTGGTATAATACAACTGGCATTGCACAAATGTTGGCATCAAAAGAAGACATTTACTTCTTCATTTGACTTGAGTCAGTGTGAGTTAATTCAAAATGTCAAGCATGATTTAGATAAAACATGCTCGAAAAAACAGTACTGGTTGGTGAAGAAAGAGGTTAATGAGGAAAATGTAATCCCGGCTCAAATGTCACTGGAATGCAAAGCCACATTTATTTGCATGTGTGGTATCTGTAAAAGGTCCAAGGAATTTTGTTTTTGGTGTTTTGAATTGTTTATAATGTATTCCTTTATTCCATCTACTAACAATTCCCAGAAGTGATGGAAATCAAAGAGAGAAAAATATAAACGAATTTGGGTTCTAGGACAATTACCAGTTGCAACACCAGCTCTAGCTACAGTTCATAAAGCAGGTGATTATGGGGACAATAAGGAAAAATGTCATTAAATCGGTAAAAATGCCTTGAATCTTGCCAGTTCTGCAATAGCGCCTAGAAGTCTGACACTTCAAAACAGTCTATGCCAAATTTTGCAACAAAATTTCACCCATAAAGATGCTCATTTGCAAGGATTTGGTTTAGATATTCCAGGCTACAGAACATGAAACAAACTGGGTAATTCCTTTGACGTTATTATATTTTATTAAATCACTCCCAACGTGTCAAAGAAAACAAATCTATTCTTTTAAAAGTAGCCCTGGAAAGGTCACCAACTTTTCAACAGACCGATTTCTCATCTCACTTTTCGGTTATTTTCTTGCTCATTTCATGTTCAGGAATCGCTTCGTTAAGAATGTTGGATTTCAAAACAACCCCACTTTCCTCTGAGGCCCAGGAGCCACAGCAGAGCTCAAGGGTGGAAAGCCGCAGGCCATCAATTCGCCAGGAGCCTGGCCTTGGGAGCTGGGGATGTCTTGGCAGAAAGTCAGTCACATTAATGTTCAGGCCACAAGTTCCCATTTAATATGCAATAGCTGCCCTATTGCAGCAAAGTGTTAAATGCTACCTCTAATTAATCATAACAGCTTTACCATTGCTTCAACTTTTATTTCAGAGGCTCAGTTGGTCACTTTAATGGTTCCCCTTAGGCTTTCAAATATGAAAGAATGAAAATAAACCCCAAATTAATATATTTATAACACGTTAATATTTCTATTTCTGGCATGTTCTTTTAGATACAGAGGGTGATACAGTTCTACTGTAACTAAATTCCTCTGGAAACCTCTTCTACTAGAGTTTTCAGAGGATATTACCTGCTGGTAGGCAGCCTTGAGCTAAGGGTTTGGCTGGGGGAGGCAGGGCACCGTTAAGGAATTTAGGAGCACTGTCACCTCCCCGTTCCGCATACTTCTCAAGAGGTCAGGGAGCAGTCATTCTCAAAAGTCTGATCCCTGAACCAGTAGCAATGCCCCTTGCGCACTTGTTAGAAACACAAATTCTCAAGCCTTATTCAGACCTTCGTGAATCAGATGTGAGGGGGGCAGCCCAGCGATCCATGTTTTAATAAGCTCTCCAGGTGATTCTGGTACCTTCTAAAGTTTGTGAACTCATGTTATAAGGAACAGTAAATTTCTGGCACAACAAAATATTGAAAATAGTCCCTACTTGATTATGTATGGGGCAAAACCGGTATTCTATCTCAGGGCAGAGCTCTAGTAAAGCTAAAAGGAACAGTTAGGTCCATCTCCCCTAAAATCTATATCTGAATCTCCTTTCCCTTTGCCTGACTAGAAACCTAAAGCCCTGGCCAGCATGTTTTTACATGAAGAGAAACAAGGAAGGCCACTCCCAAGCTGGGTCTTGACTCAGCTATTCAATCTTACCATCCAGAATGGAAAAATAAATGGGAGATGGTTGATATTCCCGAGGACAGGCTCCAGGAGGTCTACTTACCAGGAAATAGGAGAATAACCTCTCATCTAGTAAACGTGGTTTACACAGTGTCCTAAAGATTAAACAGTAAAAATAGTATCTGCTTTTCTTGGACACTGACGCAGAGAGGTAGAAGGAGAAACAGAAGGATCCCTTACTCCCTGTATCACTCCCTAAGTCCCTAAATTGCTTTTCCATGATTCACAACTGTTCTATTCACCCCAGTTAAGATGATGGGTCTCCTGTACAAAACTTTCTGAATCCTGGCCCCCTGGCCCCCTCTTCCATTTCTAGCTTGAATAAGCACCTTCTGCTTCAGTGTCTGCTCCACAGTTCCTAGTCTAATTAATCTTCCCATTATTGCTATGAGTGCTCTCCTAGGACTCGGTGCCATTCTTTCTTACCAGACCTCTTCCGGAGCTGGGAGCCTGACATGCTCTCCAGAGTTACTTTCCCGGTCAGGAAAGCTGGGTTAAGACTTTGAAAACTGCGTGGGCACCTGCCAATCTCCTTTTCACTGAAAGTCGCGCTCAGTGTCAGGACTGCCAAGGGTTCAGACCCATTGCAGCTCAGGCCAGAGCAGCAGGGGGAGGCGAGGGCCTCAGCCTCGCACCCTAAACCGGAAGAGCATAAAACTGATGGGAACCTTGTTAGAGAAACAGGGAATTTTCTAAAATCACAGCTTTCAAATGTCTTCTAATGTCACCTGTAAGAAATACATTTTACACTGCAACCCAGTACCCACAAATAATGGGGGAAAAAGACTTGTGAAATACTTTTTTAAAAAAATTCTTCTGATATTATCTAGTCTAGTTCACTTTTTAAAAAGCTAGTCAAATCTTACGTTCTTGATTTCACTGAGTTATTAGCGGCTGGCAACCTGCAGTTTGAAAATCTGTTCTCACTTGTACACTGTAATAAACACACCACCAGTACTATTAAAAAGCAGCATTAATAGCACATTGTCTCCATTAGTAATGTTGCTGAGCGCTCTATGTGTTTGAGTATGTGTTACTGTCATTTCAATTAAAATCTTAAAATTATAAGCCATAATAGCAACTCTCTTCTCTTAGTCTTTCAGTGAGTTTTTAAAATAACTTCTATTAAATTCATCTTAGCTTCAGATTTGGTGATGATTTGCAACAGCAGCACATATGATGGCCAAATTTTCATGAGCAGATTAGTACTTATTTTCCAAGTTGCAGTATTTCCATTTCGTTGAGTTTGGTTTAAATCAAGTTAATATAATTGTACAATGATAGGGTTTCTTCCCTCTCCCTGTTAAAATTATAATAATTGGAAGATTGGAAACATTTCAAAAGATTAAGAAAAAGGGGGGTGGAAAACGGAAACGTGTGTCGCCTAGAATAGATTCAGACCCCTAACTGTCATATGAAAGCGCCTCACAGCCCTCCTTCACAGCTCAGAGGATTTCTGCTGCTTTATAAACATGCATAGTTTAGAAAGAGCCTACCACGCATGACAGACGGAGACAGGCTCCTGCATCCGCAGGAATGAGCGCACCGAGGCGCGCGTGCCCACCCGGCCCCACTTGTCATCTGCTATCCAGACAGATTCAGGATGCTGGCAGATTGGAACCGGCCTTAACCTCTCCTCGCTCTCATCCCAAATCAAAACCCACCGTAAACACCGCGAAGAGCCAGGAAACCTCACGGCTTTAATCATTTCCTTTCCCCAAGCTCCATGTGGCACACAGGACACTCCGCTTTCCTTTAGGGTTGCAGTCATCCTGAGAGGGGTGCAGAAGAAAAGGCTTCCACGCGGCGGAGGGCGCAGAGAGAAAGCGCCAATCCGAGCTGTGCTCTTCCAACCGTCTCTTCGCTCCACTCTGAGCAAGCCTGGAAATGCTTCAGCTCTAGCAGGGGTTGAGAGTTGGCGCCACCTGGCTTTTTAAAGAAGAACAAGAGGCAGGAGGTAGAGGTTGCAGCAGAGCCGGTGTGCATTCGGCTGCAAAGCCGCGGTGGGCGGGAAGCTGGCGGCCCTGCACTGCGCAAAGTGAGGCCTTTACCCTTTTAGGACTCACGCGCGGGGAACTGCCCTCGCTACTGACGTCAGAATAGCGGGTTTCGCATTTAAAGCAAGTCCAAAGGCAGAGGTAACTGTGGCATCTAAAGCATTATGAAGAAACTCCGATACTTTTACTGGTGACCAGCTCTGGTTATTTTGCGCCAACTCCCTATACCGACCTGCAGGTAAAGGAAAGACAGGAGAAAAGGCAGCCTAGGATTCTGATCTCCACTCTGTGGAGACTTAAAAAAAAAAGCCAGATTAAATGAGTCTCCTGTGCCTCGGTTTGTTCACATGCGCAATGAAGACAATGACACCGTTCCCTTTGGTAACTACTCCAAGGGACTGCAGCGGAAGTCAAATGAAAAACTGGAGGGACTGTGCTTCAACGCTGCTAGTTTCTTAGCAAGGTAACACCGTCATAGAGAAAACGAGGACTGGCTATTATCACCCATACAGTGCCTTATAAACTTGCACTGTTTGTGTGCATGATGTAATGGATTCACAGAATGACTGTTAGTTGGAGACCACAAGTCATTCTATCTAGAACCTGCACAAGTTATCAGAAAGCAATTACCAATCTATTTCAGTGTGCCTCTCAGAGGCAGGAATCTACAGAAAGCAGAATCTAGAGAATCTAGAGAAAGAAGTGTTTGGAGACTGTCTTTCCATTTCATATAAACATACAGAAACATAAACACAAACATACATACACAAAACATATACACCCTAAGAGCAGGTATGGAGTTGTGCTCACATGCATGTATACAAAGTATGGATTTACATTTGTTATAATAATGATGTATGTATGTTGCTATTCAGTTGTCAAAAAGTCTTTTGCATTCACTTTTAATTGTTCTCACAATATTAGAGGGCACTTTTATTTATGTAGTTCAGGCTGGCCTTGAACTCACTGTGGTCATCCTGGCTCAGCCTCCCAAGTGCTGGGGTTACAGGTGGTGTTTACCACCATGCCCCATATGGAGGGTATTTTTAATCCTCATTTTACAGTTGAGAAAACTAAGCTCAAAAAGGAAAACTTTCTGCAGGTTTTGATGATAAATGTTAATAGAACCAATGCCATGTATTCTAGTCCTGGGTTATTATTATGTTCAGCAAATGGACACTTACTGTATGCCAGATGCTAAAGCATAGTGGTCACAAAGAGGAAAGAAACATTCCACTGCCCTCAAGGAACTCAGTTAGCGGAGAGGAGGAAAAATTATACTCCTTTGGGGCTTAGAGAAGGTTTCCAGGAGGAGACACCTGGGCTAAATCCTGAATGATAAATGGGATACAGACCACTGAAAAAGAATGGAGCTACAAGCCAGGCCTAAGGGACACACGCATAGACATGAATGACAGAGAAACTAAGAGTGTTACGCAGAGATACAACTTAGGTTGTGTGCAAGGAGTGCAGTGAAAAAGGAGAAGATGGATCATTATGAACACTGTGTGCCCAGCATTTGGGTTTTCCTCAAGTCTGAGGTACAGTGAATGGGAGACTTGAAGTAGAAAAATTATAAGTTCAAATGTTATAGTGCATTTGCATGACCTAAAGAGCTGCCCTGCCCACAGACCAGATGGTACACTGGTAGTGGACAAATGGCAGAATGATGCAGGCAAGCCAGGCTTGGCGCTGCACACTTGCAGGAGGATCCTGAGTTGGAGGCCAGCCTGGGTCACTTGAAACTATGTCTAAAAATAAAGAAAATAAAAAGGCCTAGAGAGGTAGCGCAGCACTCAATCCCCAGTACCAGGCAAAACTCAGTGTCATTGTTCAAGCAGGAAAAAAGACAGTGGATTTGAAAGCTATTTAGAAGCATCTGGTGACAGTGGCCAGGTACCTTATGGGCCCAAGTACCAGACGGCTGGGGGCACTGTTCACACAGACCAGGAGCGTGGATTACAAGTACTCCGTGGACTAGAAAGGCATTCTGTTCTGAAGACAGAGTTTTAAAAATCGAATTACATCTATCTGGAAATGGCCTTGCGTAGGGAGTTCGATATTCAGATCCAGCACTCCAAGAAGAGGTCTGAATAGTGAGACATGCCATCAACATCAACTGAAGTCATAGATGGTTGGTTAAAAAAGGTTGCTAATGTGCATTAAGTGCTGACTATGTATCTGACATTGTACAAAGTCCTTTTGGCCAACTGTCTCATTTAATACTCACAATCATCTCAAAAAGTGTTATAATTATCGCCCAAGGAGAGAGTTTCATTTAAAAACAGACAAGGTCCAAAATAAGACCTTGAGGATTACATTTAAAAGAGCTCTTTTTCCCATGTTGCTCAGCTATGGCAAAGAACAGTTACTTAATCCTCCACACTTAGATGCAGAAGGCTCCATGTGCACTGGCTGAGTTCTCAGCTCTACCGTTGCCTAGGACTGCATCCTGGAGAGGCTGTTGGGACCGGGAGCCCCTTCTCCCACTGTCTGAGTCTCTGCTAAGGGAGATTTCCTCAGACCTGGTGCTGCTTGGTGTTCTTTCAGTACCAAGTCATCAGTGTCCCCAGCCTGAAGATGATAAAGGAAAAGATGACTTCAGTGCAGAGAAGTCTCCAGGCCCACCATACACCCAGGAAAAATGGATCACGACTGTTCCTATAAAACACACTGGATTCTAGCCAGGCAGGAAGAGGTGGGTTAAGAGGGAAGAAGTGTCCCAGACTTCACTTTCAACAGAGCAGACAGTACTTGAGCCACCTTCTTGTATCAAAAAGGCACTCCCGAAAGCAAGAACAGCTTTACTCCTTTTTTCCCCTTTCTTTTTTTCTTTCTTTCTTTTTTCTTTCTTTCTTTTTTTCCTTTCTTCTTTTCTTTCTTTCTTCCTATCCTTTCTTTCTTTCTTTTTCTTTCTTTCTTTCTCTTTCCTTCTTTCTTCTTTCTTTCTTTTGTTCTCTCTCTCTCTTTTTGAAACAGGGTCTCAGGTTGGTCTTGGACTCACTGTGTAGTTCAGGCTAGCTTTGAACTCATAGTAATCCTCCTGCCTCAGCCTACTGAGTGCTGGGATTACAGGCATACACCACCATACCTGGCTCTACTAGTTTATTCTCAATGGTGGACAACTCTTGTTAGCTTGTCCACTTGTCATCCTCGCCAGTATTGATGAACTGGGAATTTGTTTTGTAAAGGAAGAGAATAGAATACTACTGTGAACATTGGCTCAACTTAATTTGCTTCTTTTGGGTTTGAGTAGAAATTTTGTCCCTTTTATATTGGGCTCAGTTTTAGAAACAACTAAGACTTGGGGCTGTAGCTCTCACTAGAGGACCTATTGTCTCAGTGGTTCTTATCACTGAGCCGAGCTGGTATGTTTAAAGAAGCACCACCCAAAAAGAGGTGACATGGAAGTAGAAGGCAGACTATTAGAGAGGATGAAGGAGATCAGGAAAGGAAGAGTAAAGAAGAGGATTGGAGGGGTGAACAGAATCAAAAGGTCATGTATGTGTATGTGAAAATGGCACAATACAGCCCATTATATTGTATAACTAATATGCACTAATAAAAAAAGAAGCATCTCCAAGCAAAATGGTACTGATATTGACTTTGCTTCGAATTTGTGCTCCTTGAGCCAAATGTGACAGCCCATACCTGTACTCCCAGCACTCAGGAGGCCGAGGCAGGAATCAGAGGCTAGGCTGGGTTATATACTGAGTTCAAACCAGCCTGGAGACCTGACTACACACAGAGGCCCTGACTCAAAACAAACAAATAAATATAAATAAAGAAATAAATTCATGCACCTGAACCCAAGAGCAATATATGCTGGCACAGTTATTTCTGGTTTGAATGAGAACATGCTAGTGGCCTGAGAGTAGCTGGAGTAGGAGGAAGAGTAGCACACATAAATCTGCCCTGCAGTAACTTTCTTAGAAGATGGCCCTAAGTAGAAAGCTGGCCTGGCCTCTCCAGCTGTGCGATTTCAGAAACTGAGCACTCTGGAACACAAGTTAAAGGGGTTACTGCCTCTCAAAAGGCTTTTCTAAGTGTAACATTCTCAGTATGTCACACAAGAATGAGCAAGGTTCTGGCATTCGCTCTGCAGCTTCCATGTGACATGGGTAAGGGGAGTCATTGAATGCTGATATATATAATGAGAGAAGATGAGAACCCAAGTCAGATTTATGTACCCCACAGAGAATCTTATGAAATTTTCCACCCAAGAATTAATATTTATGTGTATATGCCTATATATTGTAATACCTCAGTTTACAAATGCATCTGCTTGCAAACAACTCAGTTCTCAAGCAAAAAGCGTTGGACAAAATCTTGCTTCAGTTTGCAAACTCCACATCCAGTGACAAACACAACCGCAGCCATGCTCCCCAAATCATAAAACAAACTAAGTTTGTAAACCGCTGTACCACTATATATGTATGTTATACATGTATATTCATATATAGAGAAACAGACAGTCAGAGCAGAGACAGAGACAGAGGGAAAAAAGGATTAGTGAAACTGAGTGGCCAAACATACAGTAGGTTGATGGCTAAGCTAGGTCTGAAGTACGCTTTCTAACTGTTGGAAGGATAATTTGCCCACTGGTCTCTGTGTATATCATATATGTCACCAGAAAGCTGGAAGATTTGATAAGATTCATTTTTAATCAGCTCCATGTGTGCTGTGCTTCCTTCCCCCACCATCATCAATATTGTGTTAGAAAGAGCTGCATGTTCTGGCGACAGCATGGATCTTCTTTTAAATGGGAGTCCTAAGAACTCACCCCTGCCTTTAATACTAACTCTGCATGTAAATTTGCTGAAGGATAATATCCTGAGTTCATTTTTCATAGGCGATGAAAGGAGTCCATTTAATCAGTGAGGGAGAAAAAAGGAAGTTATCCAGCTTGTTCCCCCACGTACAGGGATGTGGGATGGTGAACCCAGCCTGCACCAAGCTGGGGAAAGAGGGCACTTCCCCAGCTCCGGGCCAGCTGTGCTCCCTGGGCAAATAACTTTACCTTT